ACTTGTGTTGTATGTACATTGTGGAGACCTATATCAGACTGGGTAAGTAATCTAAAATTTAGGAAAGCTAAACGATGTTGTAAAGTAACAGAATTGCCCACATAACCAGTCTCATGGGTGAGGAGATCATGAAGGCATACCCTGAACTAGAAAATCCCACAGACTCACAGCGTCATCATTTTGGAGTCATAGCTTACAATGGATAGTAAATAGCCCTTTGGCTGTAGGGAAGAGCTACTTTATGTCCATTTCAATGCAAGCTGATAATGAACTGTGTTTCATTATCACCTTGTTACACATGAAGAGATAGAATCACAGAGTTAAAGATACTGGATCAAGATAACACTGCTAATCACCCAAATTGATGAGCACCCTACCCATGATTTTATCAACATTGTATACTCCTCTTCTGTAGGAGAAATCAAAATATTTCCCCCCATGAAGAAGAATATGCAATTAATTTTTAAGAGACAAGGCACAGAAATATATTAGTCTGATCTAATATTCTTGTTAAGGGTTTAGAGAGAATAAGAGTCAAAATTGACATTTGGCAGGATTCAATGGCTCTGAGCTGCCTAGACAAAGGACCCTGCCATTAAATAGAGTGAAATACACAAACCTGGTAATAAATGACCTTTATCAGATATTTACATATTTCTTATAGAAAGGGTATGTCAAAAATGGGGCATGTCATATTCAGGATTTCTGCTCCTATGGTAAACAAGCTTTTGCTGTCAACAAGATTAAGAGAATTTACCTTATTTAGGTGATAGCATGAATCAGGTAAAGTAATTAGTGTGTCTCAAACAGGAGGCTCAGCTTTTCCAAAATCATGAGAAGAGTTTTCTAATCACTGGGGTTACTTTGTGCCATCGATTTTATGTCTTAGGAATGTAAAATATAAGACTTTAGACATTTTAAAAATTTTTAAACATTTGTATGCAGACTTGCAATTCACAGCTGATGCAAGTAAGGCAACTTAAGCAGGGAAGAAAGAATTGACGTGGTTGACAAATAGGTCCTGTGATTTAATTTACATTAACAATGATGTAATGCGCATACTGACGTACTATGTCCTTACAAAATGTGGCAAGCAAAAAAACACAGAGCAAGCTTAATTTTGACATTCTTCTAGGTAAAGGGCTATTCCCTCTAAACTTTTCTTTGATTTTTATTTTAACCATTTTGAAATGGCTTTTTCTTTTGTAGATATGTTTTAAAATATTTTCAATGTATATTTTTATGTCATATGTTAGCCATGACTTATAATTCAGAATTCTAATTACGTATTATGATTCTGTATTAAATTACAAAAAAGCTGACTACTAAGGCCAATGTGCTCCCAAACAAGATGTCATCCAGCTACTGTGTGTGTTGCGTTTTTGTGTCTGTTCTTTATAGTTGACTTTTAGTTTCTCATCCGTCTTCTTTTGCTTACCAACTGTGGTTTCTTACTAAGCCCTCTTCAATATGCCTGAACTCCCAGAATCTGATTTAGGCCAAGAAATGAGATAACTGGGAGTATTGTAATGATTTAAAATAAGATGTTCAAAGCAAAGGATTATCCTCGGAGTGATGTGTGTGAGATTTACTGCATTAGCTTTCTGACACTGGTTTTTCAGTGCTTTGGAAGTGTACTTCCTGATTTTCAGCCCTGTTGCTTTGCACTAAAGTAACAATTAAAATATTCTTTAAATACTATAAATAGATGAATTACAAATATTTTGGAATTGTGGAAAACATAGGGTTTTGGTTTTGGTTTTAATGCTGATTCTTCTATAGCTACTTCCTACCTCTGTTCTTGAAAACTTGTATGCACATGCATTTCCTGTGTCCTGTGACTCTCTTAAGATCTAAAGGACATTCTGATACTTCAAAATTATTTACAACCTACACTGTATATTGTTTTCATTTCTTTCTTTTTTTGAGACAGAATCTTGCTGTGCCACCCATGCTGGAGTGCAGTGACATGACCTCAGGTCACTGCAACCTCTGCCTCCCGGGTTCAAGCAATTTTCCTGCTTCAGCCTGCTTCAGCCTTCTTCAGCTGGGACTACAGGTGTCTGCCACCAAGCCTGACTAAATTTTTTGTATTTTTAGTAGAGATGTGGTTTCGCCATTTTGGCCAGGCTGCTCACAAACTCCTGACCTCAGGTGATCCATCTGCCTTGGCCTCCCAAAGTGCTGGGATTACAGGTGTGAGCCCCCATGCGCAGCCTTATTACTAAATAGCTAGGTTAAAAAATATGCTATGTCTTACCTTTTTTTCTTGACTTGGAGAATGGAAAGTAAGTCCTTATGTATTCCTTCTCCCTGTTGTGACTGATAGAGATAATTAGCTCAGTAATCTTTCAACTTACTTGTTTTTCCTCATCTTAAAGGGTTGTGAAATAAAACAAATGCTGAGAAACTGATTCAGATGCATGACTAAGTTTGTTAATTACTGTGTTAACTTATTCAGAACTCAAGGCAGCACTGCATTTTATAGATAAGGAAACTGAGACCCTGAGTGGGGTTAAGTAACTGTAGTAAGTAGCATAGCTGAACTTAAACCAAAGTAGTCTGGCTCCAAAGTTCTTATCTTAGAAAAATTGTCTGTAATTCAGATGGCAAAGCACCAAGCCAGGCTTTGTCTGAGTATGCTGACAACGAGGTTTTTGTGTCCAAGAAATCAAAGGGGAGGAAATGTAATTATTTTCTTTAATGAAGCATGGCAATTTAGTATTAATAATATTTACATAGATAGTGAACATTTATGCCACTTGGGGGCAAGATTTAAAGAAATACAAGCACCTTTGGTACAACATGATATTTTCTCCAGCACATTCCAACTGAGAACATTCACACCTTCATCCGAACGGATTCTTTCAACCAGCACCAGGTAGAACCTCATCCTGAGACCTTTTTCTGTTAGCATCAGATCAGCTCATTTCAATCCCAAAGCTCTAACTTTACATGGAGAATCCACAGCAGTTTTGACATTGAGTGTGCTTGTCGGTACCTTTGGCCATTTTAAAAAATTAGTTGCCCTGGTAAGAGCTAACTTGAGCTACCTAGTTCTTCTAACCCTGGCTGTATTTGCAGTTCTGAGTTCTAACTCTCAACTGCTTTTGAAAACAGACAACAGTCATAGTGATCATGTGAAATGAGAGAAGCACCGTGGCTGTACTTCCTAGCTGTCTGCTGCCTATGCGGGAAGCTGTGCTGGCAGAGGCTGATGGGTTATCCTTATTGCCGTGTGCCCAGCACATTCAGTGCCGCCACACACATCCCACGCACTCAATAAACATGACTTGATTGAATGAACAAATAAATAAATGAATGGTTTTCTATTAACATTTCTCAGCCGGATCCCTTACCTTTCCCTGAAGCTGATAGTTGAAGTGGACTTACAATTGATGAATAAGCTGCAAACATGTTTAATAACTTCATTGGGAAAACCCCCTAATATAACAATTGGTTTATATTAGATTATCAAATGATAACTCATCTTGGTTTGTACTCTTAGTCATTTCCAAGCTCCTGTGTAAAAGTAAACATTTTTTCTTTAAAAGAATGTATGCAAAACACACAAAAAGGCTTACATTGCAGGCTCTGACATTAGCCATATTGACATGCTTTAAGGCCTCCTAGAACAGTTAACTAGTTCTAAGACCAAAAGGGCAAGGTAACATCTTTGAGTATGACTTTTCCCAGCTGCAAAGTAAGGCAATAAAGAACTAATCCATAAGGCTGATGAAAGAGCATATTACCTTGCTCATGATGTGTAACTAAGAAATAACCAGGTAGGATTCCAATGTGGTTCCTCTGACTCCATTTTTACTATTTCAGGATGCTAATACCCTATGAGATTATCTAGGAGGACACTGAGGAAGAGTGCTCCTGAGGCAAGATGGACAAACAGGCATTACTCAGAGAAACTGAACCAGGAAAGAGCTTTCCAGGCTGAGTTTGTTTGCAATGTCCATGGTGGGCCAGGCTAAAGACTATAACTGGACACCCTTAGCAACCCATCAACAACTCCAATAAGTTGCCATGGATCAGTTCATGATTAAAAGTTGCACACATAAAATGTGGAAAACTAAGGGAGGCAAAGTAAAGATGTAGTTATTCTAATATGAAATAAGTATTTATAGTTATGATTGCTATTAGTTGGACATAACAAAGAACTTCAATAAAATTAGAATATTTATTTTACTTTATTTTTATTTTTTTAGAGACAGGGTCTTACTCGGTCACCCAGGTTGGAGTGCAGTGGTGCCATCATAACGCACTTCAGCCTCGAACTCCTGGGCTCAAGGGATCTTCCCACCTTGACCTCCTCAGTAGCAGGGACCAGAGGCACACACCACTGTACCTGGCTAACTTAAAAAAAAAAAATTTGTAGAGGTGGGGGTCTCATTAATTTGCTTATGCTTAGGCAAGTCTTAAACTCCTGGCCTTAAGTGATCCTCCCACTTAGGCCTCCCAAATTGCTGGGATTACAGATGTGAGCCACTACATCCAGCCATAGAGTCTCTGCTTCTTCAGTGGATTTAGAATATGCCTATTTACGAGGCATGAAACAATTAGGAGGGGCAACAGTAATTGTGCCATAGTAGCAGAGAAGGAAAGAAACCCCCTCTTGTACACACCATTTCAAAAAGCTTTGAAGGAAAACCAAGCCTAAATCCCTCTTTCACACTGTTTACACTACAGGATACGGTCTGAAATGTTTTCATTCAAAAATAGTTATTAAATTTAAAAAGTCTGTTGAACAAAATTAGGTTTAGTAACTTGCTGAAGTACAAATTGAGCCATGCTTTTTACTTAAAATGATGAGAAAATTCAAATAATAGAAGCATAATTTCAAATTTGCTACTGTTCCTGTATTTCTATGCTATATCTATGATCGTGTCTACTGCTCTTTCAGTGTCATGTACAGGGTTAAAGGAAAAGCAAATGTAAAATAAGCATGGTTTGTTATTATCATTCCTCTGTTATTTTATTTTTTCTTTCAGTTCCACCTTTCATACAACCCTTTGAGTTCCCAAGATTCTCCATTGGGCAGCGTGTCTTCATCCCATGTGTTGTGGTCTCAGGGGACTTACCCATCACGATCACCTGGCAGAAGGACGGCCGGCCAATCCCTGGGAGCCTTGGGGTGACCATTGACAACATTGACTTCACAAGCTCCTTGAGGATTTCCAATCTCTCCCTGATGCACAATGGGAATTACACCTGCATAGCCCGAAATGAGGCTGCCGCTGTGGAGCACCAAAGCCAGTTGATTGTGAGAGGTGAGCAGAGGAACATGAGCCACATTGCAGCTATAGAGTTGATTTAACAATGTTTTAAGATGATGGGACTTGAACTACTGTGAAAATAAGTAGAACTTAGGAATTCAGTCTTATCCCACTAAAAAAATAAAACTCTAGAACCTAACCATGAATTCCCCTAAACTCCAAGATGAGGTTTTATTTACCTAAAATATGTTTTAAATAATTAACAGCTAAGAAGGTGGGAGCCGTAAGATTTAATTCATGAAATGAGGCTTCTGTATGCTAACCCAATGAACTTTGAGGACTAAAGTCCAGGAGCTTTTGCTTTATTAAATTCATATAATACTTTTTATAATATCACTTATCATTTCAATAAATGACTTTTTAAAAAATATGTGTCAAAGCTATATATCAAAGTTTTTCTAAAGAGCCGTAAAATCTCTTTTCATAACGTTTGTTTTAGTTTTAGAAATGTGGTTTTCTTTGCCCATCTATTCTATTTAGCGTTAAATCTATCATTATTTTGGAAAGCCATAGCAACATTTTTAAATTAAGCAGAGTATGGGAGTATTTATTCCAAAAAATTAAAATAGGGTAGGCTAACTCGCAGAAAGCATTGGCAGTAATCGCATTGCATCTAAAATGTAAGCATCAGTCTCATTTTGAACTTCTATTCCAGTCACCAAATTCCCATTAAGGCTCACACTCTTCATCTATGAAATAAGCTGCTAGTGTTATCTGATGTCTATCAAACACAGACATTCTGTGATTTTCATGATTTTCCAAGAGTAGTGTACATTAATCTACCATTGCAATATCCATCGACATTGCAAAAGTAACTGTATGAAGTTAAAGATTTATATTGATGTGATTATTTGCATTTTAAAATTCCCCAAATTGTGGTCTCAGAGAAGTTTTTAGGAGGGGAAGGGTTTCTGTAATTTTTCAGGTAGTGGAGATGGCTCTTTCTTGAGCAGGAGATTCTCATGTCCTCCTTCAGTCCTTAATCCTTGTCTCCTTGATACCTCTTCTTCCTTTTTGACTGGGAAGAAATGCATTTTTTTTTATCTACTTGCCAGTGAAAGGAAGTGACACAGACTTAGCAGTCATAGGAGGAAACTAACATTGTATTTCGGAAAGAAAAAATCCCCAGGTGAATAATTTGGAAAATATATATTCAGTTAGACACAAACTAAACATACTCATGACATTTTTCTCATTTCTCCCTTGCACTTTAGAGTGGAAGAATTGGGATACTTGATTTATTTCCCAAATGTTGACAGATAAATTAAAAAGTGGGGCAACCTAGTATCTGTTTCCCAAGAATTTTCTTATAAACAGAGTTGACACTTACCATGGTTGTGAAGGGCATAGTAGCACATCAGCCTGCTTTCTATGTAATCTGCTCTGAAGGATCCAGGTCAGGAATCTGAAATGTCAGATAAAAATGTACTGGGATGCTTTTTGTACCACTTGCCCTTGCAGAAAAGGCAACCACAAGTTTTTAACCAAGGCAAAGGTCAGATGAGCTGAAACTGAGCCTAGCTATTTGGAATAATATAGGTGATCATAATATGATTAATGTCGCTATGTGATTGTTCTTCAAATATGTTAAATAAGCTTTAGTGAAATTAATATTAAATCACCAGTGAGATAGTACAGCCTAGAGGAAGAAAATGTGCTTCATACACAGGTCAGTGTGATTGGAGGGACAGGCAGGGACAAGGTGGTGTGGGGCTGAGGTTCTCAATCCGGATGCTTCTGTAGAATCTCCTAGGAGGTTTAAGAAAACACTGAGGTGCATTTTTTGGTCCCATCCTAAACCAATTAAATCATAATCTTTGCGGGGTAAATCCATCTTCCAGCTCTGTGGGGAATTGTTCTTTCTTCCTCCTCCCCCAAAAAATCACTAGTTATTAATTCTCAAACTTTGTTATACATTCAGATTGCAAAGGGAGCTCTAAAAAGATGGATATTGTTTATGACCTGGTGTCATTGCAGCGAGGGCCTGATTAGATGAGCTTCAGAAAAGAAAGAAGGCAAATGTGCAGGAACTCAGAAAACACAACTATTTTTATGTTTTTAGGAATTGTGCTATCATAGGAGGCAGTGAAATGGAGACAAAGTTGGAAACGAACATGGGGCAAGGGCAGGTATTATTTTTAAGACTGGAGACTTTATAGCACGCTAATCTGCTTATGACAATGAGCCGGTAGACAGGAAAAAATATTAGGCAACACGAAGAGGAGGTTATTACAGGATCAAAGTCCTTGAGTTAGTGAGTGCAAAATTCTTTGTGCCAGTGCAGTAGTATGTTCGAAGTAGGATAATAAGAACCATGCTGTGAAGCTCCAGTAGGTAGCACCTACAGAAATGATTGAAAATTATAGAAAGGTGGATGTTTTGGGTCAAAGAAGTGGAAAAACAAAAATTATCTAATGGAACCATCACAGAGTAATAGGTGACACATTTATCTTCCTACTACAAACGAACTATAAAATGGGACTAATATCTATAAAGAACTGCTTTCAGGAACAAAAAGAAGTGCATGAAGTGAACTCCAATGCTCTAGAGCCCAAGTAAATCACAGTGATCTTGGCAGGTAGAGAAAACAGAGAGAGAAATTTTAAAATACTGAGATGATTACTGGGGTATTAAAGGACAAACTACTGGAGATTTGAGAGATGTTCAAAGAAAGATCTCTGGAAATCTGTACAGGGATCCTTTGCAATTTCAGTGGAATACTGTTTACTGTGCTGAATGCTAGCAGAAGTCACATATTGCTTGGGAATGCTGGAATTCTAACTAGCCAGAATAGGGGAATTCAGCTGCTGTCTCAGAAAGGCCACATACTAGGAATAGGGCTGATCTCACCCCAGAATAAGGGATAGTATAGGCCAGCCCTAACAAAGCCTGAGATTTTTGACAAGATAAAACTTCTCCACTAGTAAGTTTTTTTTTTATTGTTGTTATTATGTGTTAGCCCAACTAAAATTATACAGTGAGTTTGTAGCACTCCTAGTATAGCACTAGAACCCAGATCTTTTTTCCCCCCATTTATTTATTTTATTGCATTTTAGGTTTTGGGTTACATGTGAAGAACATGTAAGATTGTTGCATAGGTACACATGTGGCAGTGTGATTTGCTGCCTTCCTCCCCATCACCTACATCTCGCATCTCTCCCCTTGCTATCTCTCCCCACCTCCCCACCCCCCACCATCCCTCCCTTATTTCCCCCCAACTGACCCCAGTGTGTAGTGCTCCCCTCCCTGTGTCCATGTGTTCTCATTGTTCAACACCCGCCTATGAGTGAGAACATGCGGTGTTTGATCTTGTGCTCTTCTGTCAGTTTGTTGAGAATGATGGTTTCCAGGTTCATCCATGTCCCTACAAAGGACCCAAACTCATCGTTTTTGATGGCTGCATAATATTCCATGGTGTATATGAGAACTAAAACAGATTTACAAGAAAAAAACTAACAAGCCCATTCAAAAGTGGGCAAAGGATATGAACAGACACTTTACAAAAGAAGTCATTCATGAGGCCAACAAACATATGAAAAAATGCTCATCATCATTGGTCATCAGAGAAATGCAAATCAAAACTACATTGAGATACCATCTCACGCCAGTTAGAATGGCGATCATTAAAAAATCTGGAGACAACAGATGCTGGAGAGAGGATCTGGAGAAATAGGAACACTTTTGCACTGTTGGTGGGAGTGTAAATTAGTTCAACCATTGTGGAAGACAGTGTGGCGATTCCTCAAGGACCTAGAAATAGAAACTCCATTTGACCCAGCAATCCCATTACTGGGTATACATCCAAAGGATTACAAATCGTTCTACTATAAGGACATGTGCACACGAATGTTCATTGCAGCTCTGTTTACAATAGCAAAGACCTGGAACCAACCCAAATGCCCACTGATGATAGACTGGACAGGGAAAATGTGGCACATATCCACTAGTAAGTTAATTGTGTGCAAGAACAACATTTGACGTTAAACAGGAAGACAACAAAATCCGGACCCCCAACAGCACGGTGTATCCACAATGTGCGGCATGCAGTAAATGCAGGCACACCTCATTTATTTTTTTTACTGCAGCATGCAGTAAATGCAGGCACACCTCATTTATTTTTTTTTATTGTGACATGCAGTAAATGCAGGCACACCTCATTTCTTTTTTTTGTTGTGACATGCAGTAAATGCAGGCACACCTCATTTCTTTTTTTTACTGCAACATGCAGTAAATGCAGGCACACCTCATTTTATTGCACTTTTCTTTTTTTTGAGACAGAATCTCGCTCTGTTGCTCAGGCTGCAGTGCAATGGCCAGATCTCTGCTCACTGCAACTTCCGCCTCCTTGTTCAAGCGATTCTCCTGCCTCAGCTTCCCGAGTGGCTGGGATTACAGGCATGTGCCACCACTCCCAGCTAATTTTTGTATTTTCAGTAGAGATGAGGTTTCACCATGTTGGCCAGGCTGATCTTGAACTCCTGGCTTCAAGTGATCCACACACCTTGGCCTTCCAAACTCCCAAAGATTACAGGAGTGAGCCACCATGCCTGACCACACTTTGATTTATTGTGCTTCCCAGATATTGCATTTTTAAAATACAAATTGAAGGTTTGTGACAATCTTGCATTGAGCAAGTCTATGGGGACCATTATTTTCCAACAGTATGTGTTCACTTCATGTCTGTATGTCATGTTTTGGTAATTCTTTTAACACTGCAAACTTTTATTATCATTATTATTATGTCGTTAGGGTGATTGGTAATCAGTAATCTCTGATGTTACTATGATAATGTTACTATTATAATTGTTTAGTAGCCATATGAGATGGCAAACTTACTTGATAAATGTTGTGTTTGCTCTGACCACTACCACCCAACCATTTTCTAGTCTCCATTTCTCAGCTTCCCTATCTCCTGAGGCACAACAGTATTAAAATTAGGCCAGTGAATAGCCCCACAATGGTCTCCGGGGTTCAAGTGAAAGGAAGAGCTTCAC